GTTAGATATTTTTCTGCTTTTATATAAAAGTTATACTGACTTAAGAAAAAGAATTTGTAAGTGTCCTTCAATTTTCTATGAGGATTATTAGCTTTTGTTCTTCTTTGAGAGTCTAATAGAGTTCTACAGTGAATCCATCTGCCCCTCAGCCTTTTTAGGTTGGGAGATTTTAATTACTGCTTCTATCTCATTGGATGTCATATGAAATAGCTTATTTCTTTTTGATTTAGTTTTGGTAGACCATATTTATCTGGAAATTCATCCATTTTTATGTTTTTCCAATTTAGAGAAATATAGATTTTTTTTAAAAATATGAACTTATGGTTCTCTGAATTGCCTGCATGTCTGTTTTATGTCTCTCTTTTGTTCTCTAAATTTTAGAATCTGGATCTTCTCTGTGTGTCTTTTTTAAAATTTGGCTAATGATTTGTCATATTTTAACAGACAGTTTTCACGGGCACAATAATTTGGGTGGACAGTTGCAGTCATTTCCTGACTTGGAAGTTGCTTCTGATTTTAAAGGTTTATGTTGAGTAACCAGATTATTAGTCTAATAGGTCTGCATTTATAAGTGACTTGGCCTTTCTACATTGCAGCTTTCATAACCCCTTCTTTGTTCTGTGCTTTTAATGCTTTAACTAAAATATGTCATGGAGAATTTCTTTTCTTGTCTTTTTATCACAGAAAGACATCGCTTTCTCTAGGTTTCACATTTTTATTTTCTTTGATTTTAATGAATGTTTTCTTTTTCTTCTTCTTTTTCTTCTCCTTCTATGTCCATAATTTGAAGTTATGTCTTTTAACAGTGTCCACAAACTCCCTCATGTTCCATTCAATTATTTTTTTTTAATTTCTTGTTGACCTTTTCTAAGTGATCCAATTCTTCTATGTGGCCTCCCATCCCTGACTCTGTGTTTTAGACAGAAACTATTTTGTTGGTAAGGCTTTCCCTGAGATTTTTAGTTAGTTCATTGAATATTTTATTTCCAGCATTTTTTCAGTAAGAATTTTGTTTAAAATCTTAATTGACTTTTTACTGAGTTGTTTGACTATGGTTTTGAAAGTTCTGTGTCATTTTCATTAGATGTCATTACTATGGGGTTTGCAGTTTGGGGAAGTGACATGCTATTTTGGATTGCTGTGTTGTTTTTATTTCTATGTTGAAATCTGTTCATCTGGAGTTAGTTTTTTGTTTTTCTTACTTTTTTGTTCAAGCCACCTTTTTTACTTGAGCAGATATGCTTATAATGTTCATGGTGGAGCTGATTCATAAACGGATTGGGATATCAATTTTCTGTTTGCCTGGTATTCTAGGACACAGTCTCTATCCATGTCTTCTGTTTTCTACTGCAGTTTGGTGTCATCAGCATTTTGACCAAGGATCCTGGGACAAGTTTTCCTGGACAGTGCATACTGGTCTTGAATCTCAGACAGGGCAACTTAAGGGTCCCATTAAGCCCTGGGTTAGTTGTGATGGCTGGAGGGTTCCTGGTGGGGACCAGACCAGAATCTGGCAAGTCTTAGAGGAAGATAGACAAGACTAAGGAAATAAGTGTCCCTGACAAGAAGCTGTGGGGATTGGGTAACACAGACAGATGGAAGGAGGCAGAGCAGGAGAGTGCTAGCAGTCTCCCTGCCTTTGGTCCTTTGTGTGATGCCTAGAGAGCCCGTTAGCCATCTGGGCTAAGATTTGAACAATCCCTAAGGAAGGGGAACAGGACTAGTTTTACTTTCTTGATGATGTTATTTCAAACACAAAAACATTAGTTTTGATAGAAATCCAGTTTGCTTTTATTTTTAGCACCATAGATTAAAAAATCCACTGCCTAATCTATAGCCACAAAAATTATCTCTGTTTTCTCATAACTTTTTTCTAGTTTTTATTTTCAGATTCTGATTACCTGGGATTTTTTTTCATAAGATGTGAAACGTGTGCGTAATTTTATTCTCTTGTATGTAAATATCTACTTGCCTCTGTGTATTGAGGACATGATAAGGCACTTGAAATTGTCTTCTGTCCTTTGTCAGAATCAATAAACCATAAAGTAAGTGCTTATTTCCCTATATTTCTTTTACCTAAGACTGTTTCTTTGGTTCTTTATGGGTCTTTACAGTTCTATGTGAACTTTATGATTATCATGCTAATTTATGCAACCAAAAAGCAGCCAGGATTTTGAAAAGTGATACATACTGAATCTATCATTTGAGAGCTATTGTCATCTTGTGTAAATATTCCAGTATTGATCTGTTAAGTTATCTTTCAGTTCTTGTTGAGATGTTCTTAAGTATCATCTTACAGTACTATTTGGGGTTATCATGTATAAGTTTTTTATTTATTTTGTTAGGTTTATTCCAAGGAGAATGATGTGTTCTTTTGTAATCTGGGTTGTTTTATTTTTTAAAATTCATTTCAGAATTATCTTTGTCAAGTTGTAGCCATACGACTGATTGGCATATGCTGATCTTCTATTTGGGAGCCCTGTTGAACTCACTAGTTACACCTAGTAATTCTCTTGGGTGGGAGAGAGAGAGAGAGAGAGAGGAGGGGGAATAGGAGGGAAGACAGAAGATGGAAGGAGAGGGGAGAGTATTGATCCCATCCCTCTTTTCCAAGAGAGCAGTCATACCTAGTCTAATGATAGAAGGCCAGCATATGACACATGTTTCTTCTGGATCTCCTCTCTAGCCAAGCAGATTTCGTTTGGCCTTTTCTCAGTTACTACACTCCATGTAGTAAAGCCAGCTAAGCAATCTCTACAAATGGGTAAGCAATACACACTCTCTCCCTCTCTGCACTAATGTGTCTGTCTGCTACAATGTACCTAAGCCAAGGAGAGCTCTCTGTGTACTTAGTATTCCAGAGCTTAGAGGGCAAGAACCAGCAAAAGGTGGGAGGTTCTGTGATCCCTTGCACCTCGTTCCTCACGTTCTGTGCTTCCTAGCATCAATACCACCGGTACTATATCTGGGGACTTGATCTAATCCTCTGATGCGCTTCTGGATTTTCTATTCACCATCAGGACCTAGCAGAAGTGCTACATCTTCCCTTGGCTTGTCGTAATAGTTCCCACAGCCATCACTGCTGAGGAAGCCAGCAACATGATGGCTCAAAACCATTTGTCACTCCAGATCCACGGTTTCTGAATCCTTCTTGTGGTCTTCAGGAGCACCAGGGTCAAGGGTTCTAAACTAGGCTTTGATTACTTATTGTTGCCACGTGTTAGTTTCATTTTTAAATGAAATATGCTGTGTCCATAATGTCTGAAATAAACTGATGTAGACTTCTAAGATCCATTCAATATTGCCTATTGCACAATGTACTCTCAGGAAATACTAATCTCCTGGTAATACTCTGGCTGATCTAAAGTGATTGACCAAGTGGTCACATCTGCTGACCCTGTTGTAGTTTAATTCGCCATTTGAGGAATTCCCACTTATTTTTGTGTCCAGGAAGGAGGATAAGGCTAGTTAGTCTTCTCGGACAAAATTCCCACCACCCTCCTGCACACTACAGTAAAGTCAAATACAAATGTCTCTAAAGCTTAGGTCATGGGTGGTTGGATGCTTTTCAGACTACAGAGTGAATACTTAGCAGATCCATGCAACTGAGCAATAAGTAATAACTGGAGATCAGAGAGCACCCTACAGCCTGGGTACTTAGTCTCGGGAACATGGAGGTTACTGAATGTAGGACATCTGAGCAGTGAGCAGCGCTAGGGAGCAGTGGGTGCTCTGTGTGGAAGATAACACCTCACACAGTGAGCATCACTATGAATGATCATCACTATGAATTCTTCATAGGGCTCAGTTATTGTCTTCTACATGTCATTTTTGCTCATCCCCTCCTTTTTCTTCCCTGAGAAAGGGTACAATTACAAATTCACAAAACAATTGAACTTGGAGTTTGAAGTAGTGTTTCACCCTTGGCAACCAGAATCATTAATTGTTATACAGCTTGTGAGTAGAAAATAAAAGCCAGCCCCTTATCTGATGAGCACAATTTAGTGCTTTCCATGCAGGGCTCTCAAATATGATGTGGATGAAAAGACCCCAGAAGACTTGATTCTGGATTCAGACTTTGCATTCATGACTTATGCAATACAGTAATATTTACTTATAGCTGAGATGCTAAAATACAAGACTAGACCTGTTCTTCCTGGATATAAAACTTCTGAAAAGAAAACATAATAAGAAGAGCTTACTTTAATAGCTTTGCTATTACCAAGTAAAATGTTTGTGAATGCATTTATTAACTTACCTTTATCATGAAAATAAATCTGTATTGTTTATTTTACATATGTTTAACTAAGTCTTCAGTTAGGTTTCTTAATGGTGAATGAACATTTTATGAAATTGATTTATTTGCAACCAATTCTGGATAGATGATGTAAATGTCTCCATGTTTCTCAGAAATTTTAGGTGTAAATGGTGTCACATGCTGAAAAAAAGCTCTCTAACAGCCTTAATTTCTTCCAGTGTGTGTCGGTTTGAACACCAGGTTGTGTTGTTGCTGTTCAGAATTATTCATGAGTTGTGTACCTGCCATTCCATGGTGATAGAAGCAAAATAACCAACACTGTAAATGATGCATTCCTTTCTGTCATCAAGAAACATCCAGGGGTGGAGAGATGGCTCAGTGGTTTAGAGCATGTGCTACTCTTGCAGAGGACCTGAGTTCAGGTCCCAGCAGACATGCCAAGTGGCTCACAGCCACCTACTACTCCATTTCTGGCATACCCTTCTGGCTTCTGCAGGCACTCACACATATGTGGAATACATGTCCGCACAGAGAGACATAAATACAAATAAATAATAAATTGAAAACCAATCCAGTCTGAATGGGAGAGGTGACTGATAGACGCACAGGCATCTGTAGATCGCTTTCACTCCGTCCCCTGCTGCTCCTCCCACCCCCCCCCCAGATAGCCCATTTAGACTCTGCCCTTCCACCTTGTGACAATAATCCCTTGGAATATTGGAAAAGCTACAAAGGGAATTTGTATAGTCATGAAGTGGAATTTAATGAACCAAGAATTTGATCAAAGAGAAAGATTCCTTCCAGGATGCCCTAGTTATTTTCGAGTTCATGTGGAATAAACAGTACGCTGTACTAGAAGGCGCTCATCGTCAACAGAGAACGATGGTTTCTGAAACCCTTAAGGTAGAAATGATAGCAAAAAAAAAAAAAAAAAAAAAAAAACCAAACCAGGCACTCAGAAAATTAGAGGGGAGCCATAAGTTAAGATTTTGCTACATGATGAATAGCACGGGGCACACATAGGAAACTTAAGCCTAGTTAGCTCCACACTATGTATTCTTGTGAATACAGAAACAAAAATGGAAGATGTCAAATACGGTAAAATAAGAGTATCCAGAAGAGAAGACGAAGGCTCGTCCAAACGCCCTGGTTTTGAGGGGTCTCCAGCGGTAGTCTGTAGAGTTGTGTCAGCCTTTTCTCATAAAACATCAACATGAAGGGCTTGGAAGAGGATTTTGGTTCAGGCTTGACTTGCTTGCCTAGCACATTGTAAAACTAGCAGACGATTCTAAAAGTTCTTGATGGCCTGGAAAAAAAGGACCAAATTTTACCAGGGGAAATATAAACTTATTAATATAAAACTATGTGCTCGTATTAAAATAACATCTGCCCCTAAATGGAATAGGGAATGATGTTACCAGCATTATGCATGAAGGTTAACTGCAGGTTCAGTGTGACTCAGGGCTGTGGCATATCTGCCTGGTAACTGAATTTAATGCAGATCACAGGTCATGCTAGGGAATGACACTTGGAGTCATGTCCTGCATTCTGGGTACCTTGTTCAGGGAAAATGTTGACCACCTGCAGTGTATCCAGCTCAGAGATAGAATAAACATGGAAAAGGAGTTGCCAACTCTCTCATAGAGGAACTCGGGAAGAGGCCACTGAGCTCAAACAGGATTCGGAGGCTTCTGAAAGGACTAGTCTCAGAAAAATACTAGTGACCTCTTTCTGTCTAGGAAGGAGAATCATCCCATGGGGGCTGAGCTGATGGAAAGTTTAAACACGGGGCCCATGTTCTTCTCTCGCATGCTGTAGTTGGCCTAAGTCCACTCCTTCCCAGGCTCTGCATGCCTCTATTTTATAGCCCTCCCAGACCAGAGCCTCTCCCATTCTCTGCTAATCTTCTCAGACCACTTATGCCTTCCCAATACTACAAACCCCTTTCTGAACCCCAGTCCTTGACGACACTGCTACTCCTATTCTAGTTCCGAGTGTCTCCATGGCAGCACTGATCAAATATTTGCTTCTGAAGCTGATGGGGCTGCTTAGCGTCCACATCCCCATAGCACTCTCCTCCAGCTTAGCAACCCTATCCACCTGCTTGCCCTGGGAAAATCCATCTGTGTACCCATCTCTTTTCAGTTGGAACACCAAGGGTTCCCCATTGCTGCCTCACTGGACTGTTAGGCAGAGCCTCCACACTCAGACAGAACATGTGACTGCGGGTTGAAGAACAGCTGGCAAGCCTGTGAAAAGAAGGTGAAAGCAGAAGATTGGGCCCTGGCCTGGAGATCTCCCAAGGGTCCCAAGATTACCAATCCATGCTTTCTCCCGTCTCTGAAGAGGGCTCCTCTTGGAGAATTCCAAAGCCACTTAAATAAATGATGGCGTCATCACAATGAGTAGCTGGTCAGGTTGGAGTGTCCCTGTTGCATATTGTCTCATCTGTGGTGTTTACACATTGTTTCCTAGGCACAGTTGTGTGGTGAAGTAGGCAGAACACATGACAGCCTAGGGCAACGTTCATCCCAAGGGAGCCAATGGAAGGCTCGGTTATGAGATGACTCCGTGACCTAATTCAACAAGAGTTTAAGAATAATCAGTTCTTCAAAGACCTACACAAGATGGGGGAGGGACTTACAGAGTCCCACCCCTACTGAGAAGGAGCTATCAACTGATGGTAACTGGGGGTAAGGGGCAAAGACAGGTGGTTTTTGCTTTTCTTCAGGAATATGTGTCTACCCTCCAGTAGGTTATCCTACACCCAGGCACATAATGGCAGAACTAAGTGGATACAGTGGTTATGACAGGGAGAGATGGGAGAGAAGGAGGGAGGGAGGGAGGGAGGGAGGGAGGGAGGGAGGGAGGGAGGGAAGGAGGGAGAAATCACAACATCTAGGGAATTGGTAGAAAAATGTTAGGGAAGGATATGAAAGTAATTGAAGGAGAGGGAATGGGGCTTGGACTTGATCAAAGCATACTATATGAATGTATAGACATTAAATAAAATAGTTTTTAAAATAACCAGTACACAAACTAACAAGAACACTGAAACTGAATGTGCAGTTCTCACCATCAGTGAACCAGTCTTTCAGGGGACATTTGTGTGATACAGTGTTGTGTATCTTGGGGTGTTGTATATCCTGGGGAGGGGGAACATCACAGGCTTCCATGGACAAGGGAAGTAGCGAATGTGATTATGTTTCTGTTCTATAAACACACCGGCAACTGTGCTGCCCCAAATGACAAGAGTGAGCGAGGCTCCCAAGCAACACCAAACCACTGCAGTAAGGAGCTGGGAGTGAGTCCAGATCCCTGGTGGAGGGAGGACTAACTCACCCATGATGAGCACTCCCTTTCTATGTATGGAGCTTCTGCCAACATCAGGTCTTACAATAACCTCCCATGGGGCTTTGTGTTTGGAGAGCCACATAAGGGACTTCCTCTTCCACAGTGAGATGTAGGGGAAATCTACCATAGATGCTGTGGAAGTCTCCTACACTCCTCCATGCTTCCTGTGTCCATAGCAAACTTATAAGCTGTATATTGCAGGCCAGCATGCCCTCATGTAGGACAGTCACTCCCAAGCAGCTTCCAGGCCAAGCACTGCCCCAAGCACTATATTGACTCCTTGCACACTACAATTGTTCCCACTATGAAAGCCAGTAAGGTTTGAGGCTCGTTGGCCATGGGAGCTAGCATGCTCTGAATGGTTTACATGTGTCCAAATAAATGCTGGCCAGGCAATTTCTGCATAAAACCACATTGCTGTGTGCATGAACCAGAGACATCCCCTCTGTTTGTGGAAACAGGGCTCCCTCTATCACTACTCTCTGGCTAAGTCCAGATAGCAAACCACCATTTCTGGGACACATCAGGAGGCTATTGTGTCTCAGATACCCACGGGTGGTGTCATCCATATGGAGCCAGACTTTCCCTCCTCCCCTCCTCTGTTTGTTTTCTGGAACACCTTTTCCCTTTCTCCTTCCCCCATCGTGTGAGTTCATGTGTGGCTGGTTTTCTTGGGCACAAGTCCCAACTCAGCTTCAGCTTTGTTTGTTGTTTGTACTGACTGCTCTGAGATCAGCCTCTGACACTCTGTGGTCAGCTTTCCCTGAAACAGGAGCCCCTACTGAGCTACTCTACTCCCAGATGGAAGACAGTGTCCACTTTGCTCACACAAGAGAAGGCACAGCACCCAGCCGCATGCTCTGGGAACCACTGTGTTCTGTCTCAACCCAATAAAGAACGTCTGTAAGAGAAGTATCTGGATTTTGTTAGCCGACTACAGAAACAGAAGTGAAGCAAGATTCCTTTATATGTCATCTTAGTAAACTAAAATGTTAAGCTTCAAAGGGCCAAACAGAATCTCTCCCAATCCAGGAGCAATGGATGCCCCGCTAGACTTCCGTTTCAGGAATCCCAGGGTCATGTCCAGGGAAGAAAACAAGCTAGAACTAATCAAGATTTTTTCAAAAGTTTTAAATAATGTAATACAGTATGTTGTAATTTTGTCTTATTGCTATTGTTATTAATCTTCTTTGGACCAAGTTTTGCAAACATCAACCTCCCAGTTGTAGACTTAAGCTACCAGCAGAGAGAAGGGAACCCTTGTGCTGAAAGTCATCTGCATCCTCTGGTAGGGCATAACCTGTTGATTGGTTATGATGTACACAGCAGCTAAATTCATCTGGCCTCTATGAAGGCCTGCACTGGGGCTGGCTGGCCCTGGGAAAGCTGCTAGCCCTCACCAGTTTTATCTTCCTGAGCAGGGTGATGGTGGAACCTACATTGGCTCTCATATGCATCTTTTCCCTGAGATACCTCACATGTCACTGTCCCTCCAAGTCATGACTTTATCCATGTGTTCTGCACCCTGCACAGTCTGGGTTACTAGAGCATCTGAATACATAGATGAAGATCTCCCAGAGGCAAAGAACATGATCCTTGCCTTCGTCAACCACTCTCTTCTTCCACTGCATGTTTCTTAGAGGGAATCTTCATCTCACTGATGACCTAGTCTGGAGAGCAGAGAATTGCCCTCCCCTCATATCTCTTAGCTGGTGTTCCTCGGGTTTGTTGCTGACTCCCACTGTCCTAAATCATCTCCCATCAGGCTACTTGCTTGGACTCCCTTTCTTTCACCAGCCTTATCAAGTTCACACCCTGCTATTCTTCCCAGTAAATTTTCTAAGTGCCAAGCAGACTTCTTCCCTCGGGATTCAAGCTCCCCTAGAGACTTCTCATTTTCCAGACTAAAGAAGACTTTATATTATAACAGAATTTGGTTTGTTAACTTCATCTTCTACCTCTCCATACCTCAGGCTCCAGTCACTAGACCAGTGAACAGGACAGTTTTTCATCCAGCTGGATTTTGCCTGGAGCACACCTTAGCAATCAGAATCTCAGTACATGACTGTCAACCGTCTTCAGCAAACTCTGCTTCTCCCCATCAAGCTCCCTCCTTTCCATGTACAAGTTGAGCTCTGCTCTGTCTTGGTTTTCTGTAAATTTCTGTAAATTTAAAATCTGAAAAGTTATTTATTTTAGTTCTCTACCTCCAAAAGCTAACTTGGCTGTCCCTTTCTGTCACCTTAAGATTAAGTGCTGGTCATCGACTCAATCACATCTCATCGCTCTGACTTAATCTTCTGTTTTCTAACTTCATATTTCAGACACATCCTGAGTCCATTTTGAGGCCAGCTGAATTCCTCCCTGATATGCAGTAGGAAAATTTTCCTGAATCTGGGGCCTAAGACATGTACATGTTTGGGCAGGGCTGTTAATCTACTATAAATGCCCCCTTCCGTGTTCATGCGGAAACCCTATGCCTGCTGCCATCATTCCGTGTGCATCTGTGTGTTCATCAGTCACCCTGACTCCTTAGCTTCATGAAGATCTCATCATCCTTGACTCCCTATTTTAAGAGAAAATTGTTCTTAAGTTAGCATTTAAATAATCCGGATTATCTCAATAGCTAGTGATACCCTAGCATCTCCATAAGAATAAACTCAGAGGAGGGATTAGCTAGCATTCTGCAATTCATTTTTAATGACCGCAATTTGTGAGCATTTCCATTCAGTATCTACAGAGGACTTCATTATTTTCTTCACTGCTGTAGCCAGCATTTACTGTCTCCTGTCAGGCATTGTTCAAAGGCCTTTTCATGTCAGAATTTATTTAATTTTACAACAAATTTCTGAGACAAGTATAATTATTGTTGGCTACCTCATGAATATGGAAACTGAGGCATCTGAGATTGAAAAGCCTGCCCAATGTCAGACAGCTTTGTCTTCAGGAACTCTGAGTTAACCATGGACATGGACACGCTGCCAAAACAAACAGTCCCTCTGCCAGCTACACAAATGGGAGGGGGTGGTCATTGTAGTTAATTTCAAATTGTATTTGTTTCTCATGAAACTCAATAGCCTTTAGCTACATGGGTTTAAGAGGAGAACTCAGTGAATTAGCTGGCTCCATCTGAGATTTTTCAAAGAGCTAACTTCTAAGACACATAGGCTGTGGGCTTCAAGCATAGAAATGAGCCTGCGTATTATCTTTCAAAGCCACCTTGGTCTTTGGGAAAATCCTTGGATCTAATGGTGAATCATCCCATGATCGCTCTGTCAGTTTGATGAGAGTCAGTCTCAGGGGAAGGCCATTGTGCCAGGGAGAAGAGATGGCAGGAAGAAGAGCTTTAAATCTGTGCTTGCTTGCAGTTTCTGCCTTTGATGCTGTCTCTGGGGGCCCGGAGATCGCCTCCTCTCAGTCAACAATTCTATGTCTCCGTCACAGTTCTGAAGGGGGAGAGCCCTTTAAGGCATTTTGTACTGACAAGCCCATTTCTCTTAGGGCCCTAGAATGTAATAGAAGCCATCAAGGGCAAGGGATATTAGGCTGTTCTCTGCGATGGCAGCAGAATTCATAAGTTTTTCAACGGCTCCCTCCTATCAGCCACTCAGTTACTAGTATGGCGAAGGACTAATATGCATCTGTGGATAGTCAGTGCCTGGGTGTTTAGAGGGTCGTACTGTTTATCTCCAAACAACTTTGTTTACAAAGGTGGTGGTGTTTTCCCAGAGCCCATGCTAAACTTTAAGCTAGGGAAGTGAGGGAGAGGCCTGAAGGATTGGAAGCTTATAATATGAACACCCTCATTTAACCTCAGTCTAGAGGTAAGAAGAGAAGGGTTTCCACTTGATAGACACTGAGGAAAAGTCCACTGCATTCCCTCAGGCCAGCAGGTGACAGGATGTATTTCAATAACATGTATTTCAATGCTGAGTGGGAGGGTCTCCCCATTCTCTGTTGTTGACAACTTTACACACCCTGAATGAGTTAACTGAATTACTTTTCCATGATTAACTTAAAATTGCTTTGAAGCCAAATTTAACCTGATTTTACTTCATTTTCTTTCAGGAGGACACAATGCAAATGTCCTTTAAGCTTTTTAAAAATCAGAAACAAATATACTTATTTGAAACTGTAGAAACAGCATTAATAGAAACTACTGTTGTCCCATGCTCCACCCACAAGAACACCATTAACACAAGGCACTGTCCTTCCAGACTTTTCTGTTGGCATGTGTCAATGGACATTGTTCCCCAAACTACAAGCACTGAGAACACACTTCTCTGTGATGGTTTAGGCATCGATCTTCCCCTCCAGGTTACATTGAGAGGGTCCTCAAGCACAGAGGTAGAGCTAGTGTCTTTACACAGAATCCCTGAGAGCCCCTTGTCTCTCCCATCATATGAGGACATGATGAAAAAATTCCCTGTGCACCAGCAAGCAGGCT